TTCACACTCTTAGCTCGTAGGAGACTTAAAATATAGCAATACAGTCCTAAAAAAATCCTAAAAAAAAAAATTGCACGTATTAAGGAAAGTCATGCCGTTTTGGAACAATATGAGTGCGAGTAAATGATGATACAGTCTTAATTTTCTACGTTACATGCACTGTATCCGAATTAATTTCAGTAATGGACTGTAATGTACCATATCACTCCGTCCAAATCCTAAAAAAACCATGCATACATGCAAAAAATTTTTTTATTTAGCTAAACAAATGTTTAATGTATACAGGTTGAATTACAATGTAAAAAGTGTAGTAGAGATCCAGCTTTTTGTTAATCGTTCAATGGTCTTTGCTTGAATTATATGTATGAAAGCATAATCAGCACTATTTTAAGTGGGAAGTATTACATTTTATGAGTTATCTTTTTCTTTGCACTTACTGAACGTATTTTAAGTTGCCGAATGTTAGTTACTCATCTATGAATCAGTATCAGTAATATATTGTTTGTTTTCAGTTTCTGTGTATCAGTTAGGATATCTTCTGCTCTTTTCTGTCATATCTTTGAATTGGAGATTCAGTGATCAAAGCTGGTTGTTGACGAATGTTTAATGTGCATGTGCATTGTGATGTGTTACCATATCAGGTGGTGCGTTTGTGTGTTTTGTGTCTCAGGTGGAGCAAAGACGCCATGGCTTCATAAGACCGGCTCCATCGTGTTGTGATAGACGTCCTTTCATGTAGGTTGTAACAGAGACATGATGCACTAAAAGATCTGTCCTGAGCTCCAGTGAAGATTAAGTTTATTGTGTATATTTATCCATTCAAAACATATCTCAAGGTTTATTTTGATTCTTTTCATATCATCAGAAAGCCTGTGTTGATCTAGTCCGAAAATTAGAGAGGTTTTGATGTAGGAAATTAAGTTTTGTATTGAAGGATTCAGTATTTAGCATTTTCTGCAGTAATGATTAATATCTAAACAAAAAAAGAGGAGCAGAACAGTTAAATCAAAACCAAGTCTTTATTGATGTGATTCCAGCAAGGTGTCAGATATTTGTCGCTGTCATCTCTGGTGCTAAACACACCGATATATCATTGTTTTCTCATTTCAGTTGTGAGAAATCGGTGAGGGTCATCAAAATGTTGTTTCCTTTTTATGCAAAATATAATTTATGTCTTTTCATTATGGGGTGAAATATGACACCTGGCATTTCTCATGATTTTCTCGATCAAAGTTTCTCTGTCCACAATCCCTCTGTTCTTTATGGAAGCCCGTCTACTTTTGCAACTTTTTTTCTTGCAATTGCATGATATAAGCTCACAATTGCTTTATGAAGTCAGAATTGCGAGATATAAACTTACAATTGCGTTGCGAGTTTATATCTCGCAATTCTGACTTTATTTTTCGCAATTGCGAGTTTATTTCTCCGAATTGTGAGTTTATATCTTGCAATTCTGACTTAATTTTTCAAAATTGCGAGTTTATTTCTCCGAATTGTTTATATCTTGCAATTCTGACTTCATTTTTCAAAATCGTTAGTTTATAACTCACAATTCTGCATTATTTTTCGCAATTGCAAGTTTATTTCTCCGAATTGTTAGTTTGTCGCAATTCTGACTTTATTTTTCGCAATTGCAAGTTTATTTCTCCGAATTGTGAGTTTGTCGCAATTCTGACTTTATTTTTCGCAATTGCAAGTTTATTTCTCCGAATTGTGAGTTTATGTCGCAATTCTGACTTCATTTTTCACAATTGCAAGTTTATCTCGCAATTCTGACTTTATTTTTCACAATTGCAAGTTTATTTCTCCGAATTGTGAGTTTGTCGCAATTCTGACTTTATTTTTCGCAATTGCAAGTTTATTTCTCCGAATTGTGAGTTTGTCGCAATTCTGACTTCATTTTTCGCAATTGCAAGTTTATCTCGCAATTCTGACTTTATTTTTCACAATTGCAAGTTTATTTCTCAGAATTGTGAGTTTATATCACAATTCAGAGAAAAAAAATCTGAATTGTGAGATAAGTCCAAATGCCTTTTTTTATTTTTTATTCAGTGACAGAAACGGGCTTCCATAGTTCTTCTATGCAGCTTTGTGCCAATTGGGAAAAATCTAATGTACAAAGAGGACCAGAAAACATGAGCTAAATCAGAAATCATCAATTATTATTATTGTCGTCTTGTTGTTCCAAACTTATATGACTTTCTTTCTATAGTGAAACACAAACAGAGAGATTTTGCTAAATAAAATAGGCTGGATTTTTTATACAGTTAAAGTCAAGTGGTCAGAGCTGTTAAGCTGCTAAAAGAACAGAAAACACCATTAAAGGTACATTTAAGCAAAATAATAATAATGAAAAATATATACTACTGTATATTCCACTTATACTATACACAATAGATTTTTGTGAAGAACAGACATTGTATATCTAATTTCTCATTTACACAATCTGCATATTCATGATTTCAAACCTGATGAATATGCGCATAAAATTTGAGAGCAACATTTTTGGTGATAATTTGAGTCTGTTTTCACACTCTTAGCTCGTAGGAGACTTAAAATATAGCAATACAGTCCTAAAAAAATCCTAAAAAAAAAAATTGCACGTATTAAGGAAAGTCATGCCGTTTTGGAACAATATGAGTGCGAGTAAATGATGATACAGTCTTAATTTTCTACGTTACATGCACTGTATCCGAATTAATTTCAGTAATGGACTGTAATGTACCATATCACTCCGTCCAAATCCTAAAAAAACCATGCATACATGCAAAAAATTTTTTTATTTAGCTAAACAAATGTTTAATGTATACAGGTTGAATTACAATGTAAAAAGTGTAGTAGAGATCCAGCTTTTTGTTAATCGTTCAATGGTCTTTGCTTGAATTATATGTATGAAAGCATAATCAGCACTATTTTAAGTGGGAAGTATTACATTTTATGAGTTATCTTTTTCTTTGCACTTACTGAACGTATTTTAAGTTGCCGAATGTTAGTTACTCATCTATGAATCAGTATCAGTAATATATTGTTTGTTTTCAGTTTCTGTGTATCAGTTAGGATATCTTCTGCTCTTTTCTGTCATATCTTTGAATTGGAGATTCAGTGATCAAAGCTGGTTGTTGACGAATGTTTAATGTGCATGTGCATTGTGATGTGTTACCATATCAGGTGGTGCGTTTGTGTGTTTTGTGTCTCAGGTGGAGCAGGCCGTCCTGAGTGTGAAGTTCAAGTCTTAAACATGCAAAAACATTTGGGTAACAACCCTAAATTATAGTGTCAAACATGTAGTGGTCAAGTATCTGCTCATAGAAGACGTCATGTTTCTATCTTTCAAGCTAGAGAGCGATCAATTGTGATGAAGAATAAAAACTGTGCAAGCTGTCATTAAAAAGTTTTTGTTCAGTCTTTTGTGCATGTAGGTGTCTAGTTTTTGTATTTTTTGCAACAAAGTCCCCACAGTCCTGGAAAACTTGCAAATGTCTCAAAATTTGTAAAACTGTGATTTACGTGCCTGGAAAAGTAATAGAAAATTCTATAGTGACTGCAATTTCTAGCTGTACTCTAAAATTTATCATTAGATATATATACATTTTTTTGAGTGCAATATTGCTATAAAATGAATTGCATTCAGAAATGACCAACAATTGGACGTTCAGATGAGAAAAGTGTCCTTGTGAATGGAAATGACATTCTCAGCTCTCTTCTGGTCTCGTGATATGTGTGTATCATTGACCTTATAATGCAGATTCACCCACAGCTAAATGAGACCAGACTAATTGATCTTCCATCATGTGTCCTGAACAACATGTGTTCACCAGGCATGCAGACACTGACACTTTAAATAAATATGGCATGATTATGGTAGCTGGATACATATGATACAATGCAATTTATTATTACAGATATAGTTATATATATTTAGTATATTAATTTAAAAAAGTTGCATTTAACATTAAAAAAAGATCTAATAAGGACCTCATACTATATGAGCTCATGTTCATATATTGTGTGTCTATAGTAAGAGTCTTTCAATTCTTGCTGACAGAGGGCGGTGGGCGTGGCCTGTGGGTGACGTCACTGCTCAGAATGACCTTCATCTCGGGAATCCTCATCTGCTGCATCACAGTCCACAGCGTGGGTGACATAATATCACTTCATTATAAAGAAGCGTTATTATTAACAGCATACAATACCCAAGGGTCATGCTATAGAAGTCGAAAACCGTTAAATAGACCAAAATGATCTTTCTGAATAATTAAATATGTTGAAATGTGTCGCCTGCAATGTGAATAGGAAACCCACCTACGCCCATTAAAAGGGTTTCTCATCAAGTTACAGAGCCAACACAGCTGCAATTAAAGTATAATGTATGAAATTACATATTACTGAATGAGCAGTTATCATACTGACAGTGTTTTTGCAGATTGCAAATAATGCTTTTATAAGGTACGTAATGCATAAAACCTTCTGATCTTTAAAAAAAAACTTAATACAGGGATTTTAAAACACGCTGTTCTACATTAGATTGCGTCCGTGTTGTTTTATGTTGTTGAAATCCGTACTATATTTACCATTGAGGCTAGGGTTGCAAGGATTTTCCCTGTCAGTATAAAAATATTTAATATTTAAATATTTATTTAAAATTTAAATAAAATGAAATGTATGGAATCATTTTAAGAGTATAATATTGTTCACACCCAGATTCTATTCCATGGATTTGAACATCTTCAGTATCAACGGGAAAGCCCGCAGCGGAGCGTACTATCATCTCGCCTAATAGGGGAGGCCACAAACCCACAAAACCACAAAACATTGAAATCCCTGTCTGCATCGCACCCAAATGCTTTCTATGTAATGATTTTTAATGGAATTTATTTTACATGCATTCTCGGAGTCTATTTGAAAAAGTTTCTCCGCGCATCCCTATATTTCCACGATCTCCTCCCCCTCCAGGAGTCGGATGGGATTTTCCTCGCGGTGTGTCAGGTGACTTTATCGGCCATTTTGTACCGCAGATTCATTCTACAGGATCCGTTAAGAGCAGTTTCCATCATTCGATTGGGGTTTAAAACCATTGTTCCGTACCAAACCGTAAATCCTCAGAACCCGGTTCCCGTCAGTTTGTACGGTTCTGCCCTCTCCAGCAGCATTAGCTCGGTGTTTTGAGGTGAAATTAGAGGACTAATGTCGTCGGGAAGCCCTGAATACTCACCGTTCTTCGCAGTGATGGGCGCATCAGCAGCGATGGTCTTCAGCGGTAAATTTTATTTCAAAATTAGTTTATTTAACATATCTATTAAACATTTATTGATTACTAAGCACATAATTATTTCAACTTCATTGTAATAAAAATCTTCCTCCGTTGGTTACATTATTCGTGATATCTGAGGAAATGTCATTCAAATTATCGGTGTTATTAATTATTGTTATTATGAGAATAGGTAAGTTACACTTATTTATTTAACACCTTTTTATTTTTATTAATCATCACCTTCAGATTTTACATCAAAAAAGATGTCTGCATCATTATAATCCAATCCTGTCAGTGCTGGTTCTATTATTCCTGGTGTCGTATGAAATATTGTTAAAAATGTTGTTAAATACGTGCTTACCAACATTTCATATTAGTTAACGTCTGCTTGCTCATAATGATTTCTGTATGATCGTAATCCATGTATGTGCCAGGCGAAAAATTGCTGGTTGATTATTCATTATTGATACTATTGCAGTGCACGTATATTGATTTTAAAATCTGAAATATTTTCATAGATTTATTACACGTCAGCAAATGTAGCTTTAGGGAATGCCACCGGCCTCTGATTTAACCAGCTATGGGAGACAATGATTCCCTGGTTAGGGTAGATTTAGAGATTATATCTTTTTTTGCAGGTCAAGGGATTATTTACAAGGTTAAACTAGTTTTATTTCACAGGTTAAACATTTTTTTTCCACAGGTATTGATCATCACTCAGGTTTGATTGGTTTCAGAGACTGAACTATTGAATTTAAGGTGGAGCCTGTAGAGTTGTGCATTAGGCAATTATATTAATGTGACCCCAAATCGAAAGGTGTTCTAATGCATATTGTATTAAGATTAGTTTTTAGTCATTAACAGCTTTAATGTGATTGTAAATGATGATGAGCAGGATGCATCGTACCATCCATCACAGAAGATGAAACCCTGTCCTGAAATAGATAGAAAAATCTCAAAAATGGATCTCTGGTGGATTTTAAATAGATGCATTTTTAGTAATCAGACCTTAATTTCCCGCTAATTTTAACAGGTTGTACTGTGCTGCAGAAATAGTGCTATGCTGAGATGAGCTGAAATGTACGTGCAAATTACAGTAGCGACTCGCGAGGGACGTCACGACATCAAATGCATCTGTGTGTGTTTCCAGCACAAGATGTCATGCTGTTTATTCTCCGCTGGACTGTTAGACGACACTTCAGGCCTGTTGGGTCTGGTTATCTCCGTTATCTGTAACGTTATCTCCGTGAGTGTCAGTATCAGTAATGCAAACAAACTGATACAGCAGCTGGTGTGTGTTTGTTTAAAGGGGTCATATGATGCGATTTCAAGTTTTCCTTTCTCTTTGGAGTGTTACAAGCTGATTGTGCATAGATAAGATCCCTGAAGTTGCACATCACAAACACATACCAGCTTCATCACTGTGTCTGTCACGCGACTCTGTTCCCCTTTCAGGCTCTGTCTTTACATTTATTTTGAAAGATGAAGCTCGCGATTATGGTAAGGGGCGTTACATTTCCGACGAGTGCTTGCGGTGTTCGGCCAATCACAATGCACTGGGTCAGCTGGCCAATCAGAGCAGACTGCACTTGTCGGAAGGAGGGACTTTGTAGAAAACGAAGCGTTTGAGAGAGGCGGGGCATAGAGGACCTACAATAATGTACAGTATTTGAAAAATAATGTGTTTTTTGAACATTAAAGCATGTCAACATATTCTGTTACACCAAATACACAAAATAATGATCTTTAAAAAAGCATCATATGACCCCTTTAAAATGCGTACAGTTCTGGCTGGAGAGAGTGTATTTTTCTATTAAGTGAGGTCAGCAAATGCTTTGCCAGGCCATTTTGCGTGTGTATTTGTGATTGAACAGCTTTCTTAATGAGAACGGCACCAAACAGCAGCATCCGTGTCTTTGTGAGCCAGTAATGAAGGGTTTCTTTAGTGTGCGTCCAGGTTCAGTTTGTCACTGAACATGAAAGCAAAATGCAGAGAAGAAACAGCTGAAGTTGATTTATTATTTATATATTTGAGGGATTCTGCTGCTTTAGATGTGAAATGCAGAATAAAGCTGTCAACCTCTCAGTTCTGTTTAGTGTTAAACTTGAAATCAAAATTAACTTTAATTAGGCTACTTCCATAATTTGTATTGTAGCTATTAAGGCCTGTTTGCACCAAAAATTATAAGTAGCCTGTAATGATGGTTACAACAACAACAACTGTATTAGAATCCTCACCAATAGCCAATAAAATTATTTATACGAAGTAAAAGGCGCTTCAAATTCTCCAGCTCTTTAAAGTTGGATGGATTTTGATTGGTTGCCAGTGCTTTTATGGTTCATCAGCTTCATCAAAAATAGATGTTGTTACTCTGTACTGTTATAGTTATAGTAGGACTTTTTTTTTTTTAAATACATTTTGTTACTGATATCATTCTTGGAACAAACAGGCCTTTATTGTGCACATTATTTCTTTTAAAAACGTTCGGCTTCATAAATTGCTTCGCCTCTCAAACGACTTTCTGTTTCAGGTGACATCATCAAGGCCTCTTATTTTTAGCCCCTCCCCCTGACCATCTGGCTCTGTTCCAGTATGCAACACCCCTTTTATGATCCAATTAATTTTGGGTGGTTAAATCAAGCTCCGCCCTACATTGTATGTCCTGTTGTTCCCACAAATTTGGGATTGTCCCAATTGTAAGGTAAAATGGTTTTTGAATGCAGTTTCATGCTTTATATGCATCTAGACAACAAGGTTTTGTTTGGCTGTTTTAAAGGAAGTTCTGGGTTTTTTATAGCCCAGATATACAGTTATTAGTGCCCTTAAAGTGCATGACTAATTTTTGTCTGTAACCTTGATTCATTTAAATTTCATTTTTGTTTTACTGCGAGATGAGTTTAAATTGTTTTGAGCGATAATCTGCATTATGCCACGAATGCTGTCGATAGAACTTAACTTGTAATGAACCCAAAACATTTCTTTATAATGTCCAGGGCCCTCATTTATAAAGAGTGCGTAGAAAAGGTTCTATATTTTGTCCTACGAATGAAATTTAAAATGTGTGTAAGTACAGAAAAATCTGTATTTATCAAACGTGCGCACGCGGTTCTTACGCACACCAGTAAGTAATCATTGTTGATAAATCCCACATGTTCTTAAGCACCATGCTCGTTCATGTTCATGGTCATTTGCATTCAGAAATGCCTCCAATGAACCATATATGGTGACAACACCTCCCTTTATTATCACGTGAACATATACGTCCTCACCGAAGTCATGGCAAAGAAAGCGGTACCGACTGAGAAGAAGACTGAGTCATTCTGTGCTCTCACTAAACAGATCAGCGCGTTTTTTGTGAAAACGCGTTCTCTGCGCAGCGCATGGTTCGCCAAATCTTCCAGCAAAGCGAGATCAGCCATGACCATATAACTACATTTCCAATCGACTTCCCAACTCTCATTTATAGCTTTTCACACTAATTGTGCAAATGTTTAGCTTGCAATATGAAATTATTAATTGAGTATTTGCAGTTAAAAGACACAGGACACATGCGGCAGCACTTTCTTTTTGTTGTATGGCCATTCTACCACTAGATTCTCTGCGTAAGCATGCTCAGAGTTGTGCTTACATTTACACACATTCCTATGTGTAAGTACAAGTTGGTAGATCCCACACTTTGCATGAAACTGTTCTTACGCACTCATTACGCACACATCCGTGAGTGCGCACTGTTGATAAAAGGGCCCAGGAGTGAGCAAATTAGATGGTTGTGTTTGATCTCAGACATTCCTGTGAGTTATTCTGTCATTCATATATTTACTCGTGGAATAAGTGATTTGACGAGTGTTGCGACTAACTGGCGCGATGCATGCGGATCACTTCTGATGCCACTGTGTCTTTGGAAGAGCTGGAGCTAATTGGAGATGTTAGTCTTTTATCTGACTTGGCATCCTGTTCCAGTTCAGTTTGTGCAGTCCTGTGCTCGTTTGAAAGTCTCTCAGGATGCATCTACTAAATAAATATATGTTTAGTCAAGCAGGTTAGTATAGCAGAATGCAGTTGTTGCAGGTAGCTGTTCATCAGGACTAGTTGGGATGAATTATCTATAGGTTACTAGTGATAGACTCAAATATCGCATAAGCTGATTAATCAGATGATTATTCGTTTTTATTACTTTTTTAGTGGCATATTTTCTATTTTCAAGTTAGCATTGGGTTTGAGTAACTATTGTTTAAAATAATGCATAAATAAATTCCAGTTTATTTATATAATCTGTCATCATGTCATTTATTGGCAAAAAGATGAAAAAAATGTAAGTAATTATTGCCATTGGGAATGGGTCACAATAGTGGACTAGTTTATTAGCTAAATTGACTAGTTTAGTAGTACGTTTTAGTATTTTTCATATATAATCGGCTGTGCTTTTAGCTGTTAAGACAGTTGCACAGTTAAACCTTCTTAGTTATGTATTTATTTGCCTATGTAATACATAACCTTCAAAGTTATGTATTTAAAGTCATCCTATCCATTTTTGGTCATTACATTGGGTGTTTTAAGCATCATGTTATAAGTGTTGCATATTTTGCATAAAAGACGTCATGTCAAGTTGAAATAGTCATTGTACAGGGCACATCTGAGCATTTAGATTATATTTTAGTTTGGCATGTGATTAATTGGTATCAGTCAGAGTGTCTATATCTGTACATCTAGTCTTCATTTCCGGACCTGTTCTTCAGTTAATATGTCCATTATTGAGGGTCAGTTCTGGTTCTTCAGGATTATCCAGAACTTTTCACTGGCCAAAATAATTAATCATAGATAGCCTATATCTGAATGCCAGATGGTTTCACCAAGATTTCATCAGACCCTGTTATAAATGAAAGGTCTGCTTATTGATTTCATTTTAAAAATAGACATGACCTAACAAAATGCTGAATTGGTCACGCAAGACTTGCCCATCAACAATAAAGCATATTTTATTTGAATGTCCTGCTTTAAATTATATTAGGCATTGGTTTTATTCAGAAGGGCTATTATTAAACGTGTTTAACAAAAAAAATTTTTTTTTGATTTTCTGTCAGATATAAAACAGATGGCTTATATAATTAATATATTTTTATAGTGTTGCAAGAAGTATTTTTATTATATAATATTTTTAATATAATTTGTTGATTTTAAATTAATATAATGTATTGATTTATTTTAATTGTTATGATGATTATTATTTATACCACCACAACTGAGTTTGTCATGAAAATAGCTATAGCTGCTGCTGTCATGGCATGAAATTAATTACTGCATCAACATCAATACAAAATGCACTTTAATTGCAAAAACAAGAAAACAAGAGACTTTTTAAAATGTTTTTGAACCGATCTTCCGCTGTGAAAGCAGTAAATCAGACTCCATTATCATATTGTTTTACCTGACGTGTGTTGTTCTCAGAGCAGGTCTTAAATAGAGTTGGTCTTAAATAGTGTGTGTGTGTGTGTGTGTGTGTGTGTGTGTGTGTGTGTGTGTGTGTGTGTGGAGTGTGTGTTTGGACAGTGGCCATCTGCACGCTGAAGGATTGATTCTGCTCTTCATCACACCAGCCCATCTGTCACGGCAGGCACACACACACTCACTCACACACACAAACACACACGCACACACTGTTATTGGCTAGTTAGGGTGATTCTGTGCTGCAGTAGTAGTAATCCTGGTTAATGCAGCAGAGTTACCTTTTAATCCCAGAAACTAAGATTAGACTAAGATTCCTGGATGAACGTGCTGTAATGTGCAGCATTGAGTTAAGCGTGAGCAGAATTAACACTAACTCTAACTCACTAGTCCTAAAATTAACACTCTAACTCTCTAACGGTTCCCAAGATCATTGCAGCCACATGCAAAATACTGAGGATTCACTTTAAAAAAAAATAGTCCATCTAACTTGGTTTAATTGCCTGGTTTGAACAAGTAAATTAAAAAATATAAAATAATAATAATAAAAATGTAAATTAAAAATTAAACTTTAACTGAAATAAATTATTATTAATATTATAAATATTATAAAAATTGTCAGCTAGTTGCCAAGCCAACATTTGTTTATTTTCATTTAGTTTTACCTGATGTGCAAAAATAACTAAAACTTAAACTAAAATTAAGAAATAATTAAAAAAAACTAATATGTAGAAATAAAAAATTAAATTAATAATAATAATAAAAAATAAAAATGACTACAACTTAAACTTATCTAAAATTAAAGTGAAAATAGAAAATAATGAAAATACAAATAAATTCAAAGTATTAATAAAAACTATAATAGTATCTCAGTGAGACTGAAATAAAACTGGTTTGAGCCTGAGATCAGTTCCACCCATCTGCTGGTGCTTAAATTATTATGTTTCCTCCATGGTACATTTCTGTTGTCAGTATGGATATTATTGTGAGTAGCTTCCTTACTAATAATGGAATTATTCTATTGTATTATTATTTTTGAATTATTAGTGTTGTTTACCTGTTATTGCTGTTTGATAATACAGTCTTTACTATTACTATTGCTTATAAATATCAACTTTAGTTAAAAATGGTTCTGTTATTAATCTTCAAAGTTGTCAAATTTATGATTTTCATTGTTGTGGACAGTAAAATAGGTGAAGCAGTAAGCAACCAACCCCGCAGCCTTGCAGAATGTGATAGAAATGCCCTAGCAGTGCTCTAAAAACACCCCAGCAACGGCGGGTTTAGTTTTTCACAGGCAGTCTGTGTTCAGAAGTGTAAAACTCTTACTCATGTTTTTGCCCTTTTGGTCTCACTGCAGAAACATCACAGGAGACGTGAATCATGCTGTTTCTGCAGAGTCAGGCAGCGTTGAGAAATTATGCAATCTTATGCATCATCCGATGTACACCAGATCACTTTTTTATTGAAATCTGTATGATATTGTTAATGCATTTAGCATCTTTTAGAGCTGGGCTGAGAGTATAGCTATAACTGCTTACTCCCTGTTTTAGTGCACGGTTATTGGAAAGTTAAATAATGGTGCTTTAATATTTCCGCTGCAGTTTTGTTGCAGTAATAATGAAGAGCATGCATGAAGAGTAAGCGGGTTGTGTGTGTCTGTGTGCAGCGTTGGGCGCGGCGTATGGCACGGCGAAGAGCGGCACGGGTATCGCTGCCATGTCCGTGATGCGTCCGGAGCTGATCATGAAGTCCATCATTCCTGTGGTCATGGCAGGAATCATCGCTATATACGGGCTGGTGGTGGCCGTCCTCATCGCCAACAGCATCTCAGACAAGATCACGCTGTACAAGTGAGTTAAACAGATCATCACGGACTCTGAGCAGGGTTATTATAGTTAACAAAACTTAAAAAAAAAAAAACAGAAAAAACATTTGTATTATAATATGAATAATTACTATTATACTAAATATATACTAAAATAACAGATTTATATTATATTGTCAATACCAAAATTTGATATTTTAGAAAAGATTGGTATTGTATTGTTTTTTTAAACACATTTATGCAATTCTTTTAAATTATTTATTTTAAATTTATTGAATATAAATAATATAAATGCATTTTAAATTAAATTTAAACTGTTTTAATGCATTTATATTAATATACATATATATTAATTTGTTTTTAAGCACTGATTTACTGCAGATAAATTTCACTATTTAAATAATCCTTGAATTTTTCTATTAGACAAACATGGGGTCTCATTCATTAATAATTATGTGAATTATTTCCATTTCCAAAAAATGTTTCAACCCTTTAGTTATTTGTCATTTGTGACTCTGGAGCACAAAACCAGTCATAAGGGTCAATTTTTCGAAATTGAGATTTATACATCATCTGAAAGCTGAATAAATAAGCTCTCCATTGATGTATGGTTTGTTAGGATAGGACATAATATTTAGAATAGATAGATAGATAGAAATAATATTCGGCTGAGATACAACTATTTGAAAATCTGGAATCTGAGGGTGCAAAAAAATCAAAATATTGAGAAAATCGCCTTTAAAGTTGTCCAAATGAAGTTCTTAGCAATGCATATTACTAATCAAACATTACGTTTTGATATATTTACAGTAGGAAATTTACAAAATATCTTCATGGAACATAGAGCTGCACAATTAATCGAATTTCTAATCGCAATTACAGTTATGGATGCCACAATTACGTAATCGTACACTTATGTTATTCTGCGTGCTTAAGATATGTTTTTTCTTTCTACATGTTATCTTAAGGGTTTTTCCATTGTTTTAGTTTTAGTATAACATTATAATACCATTCATATTTTGACTTTTTTATAATTTAAATTAGAAACCAATCCGATGTATAGTTGACATTTGAGGCTTAATACTATAGAAAAGCACTAAAGGTTTTTCAGATAGATTGTTTTCAGCTTGTTTATTTTCATATAAAAATACGGCATGCAGTTGCATCAAACAATGGTATAAACATCATTCAATGTAAATTGTGATTTAATAATCGCAATTACAATTTCAAGGGAATAATCGACAATTATGATTTTTGTCAATCGTGCAGCCCAAAGGAACATGATCTTTACTTAATATCCTAATGATTTTTGGCATAAAAGAACAATTTATAATTTTGACCCATACAATGTATTGTTGGCTATTGCTACAAATATACCCCAGCGACTTAAGACTGCTTTTGTGCTCCAGGGTCACATTTATGTAATTCTTTATTTTACCAACTAATGTATTGTTGTGTGTGTGTGGCAGGAGTTTCTTGCATCTAGGTGCAGGTCTGAGCGTGGGTCTGAGTGGGCTGGCGGCTGGGTTCGCCATCGGCATCGTGGGAGACGCAGGCGTCCGTGGCACCGCCCAGCAGCCGCGCCTCTTCGTGGGCATGATCCTCATTCTGATCTTCGCGGAAGTTCTGGGTCTCTACGGCCTCATCGTAGCCCTGATTCTCTCAACCAAATAAACTGGCAGTCAGCATGTGGCGCTGCCGGACCGCAAGACGGGGCATGTGGAACAAAAAAAGTGGGAAGGGGGGAAAAAAATAAAGGTACCTTAAACTTAAATGAAATTAGATGAATTGAGAGGTGGGGAAATAATCCTACACATTATAACAGGCTCTGCGTTTGGTTTTATCTCAGAAAGTGTACAGTCGTCCCAGTTTGATGCGGTAATTAGTGATTTCGTCCTGTGTCTGTGAAGAAAAAAAAAAATAATAATGCTGTAATAGATCTCATTCTCTGTTTGTTTCCACACCTCTCCTGCCTATCGATCTGTTAGCCAATCACGCGTTCTCTTTCGCTCCCTTCATGTTAGAGACGGAAACGCAGAAACTCTGGTTCCTGTCTCTTCCTGTCACATGATTTGGGAGTTTTATACATTTCCACATTGGTGTCAAAGAAGTGTTTGTGAAGTGGAAAAACGCACTGGCGAATCTGTATGTGGAATGGAGTAGTTTTTGTTAACGTCCTTTTTTGTTTTCCACTGATTTTATTTATTAAGAATATTGTTCATGAAAATGTACTTGAAGCTCCTCAGATCCTTTGAATTGATATTTATATAAACATAAATATATATATAAATACAGATCTATATATATAAGAATAGAGCTGCACTGGCCGGGGTGCAGTTGTCTGGGAGTATTTCAGCTCGACGTGTGTATTTCTGGTTGTTTCCTGTGTGTATCTGATGTTTGGTTGTATTAAAGGTGTGCGTGTGCCCCTCGACGGGTCTCACAAGTGTAATTTCCACATGCCTGTGTTCCCTGTGCTTCTTCATCATCTGACGGCTCGTGTGAGTGAGTGTGTTCAGCTGTGTGTGTTTGCCTTCAGTCTCAACCTTGATAATAATTCCCCAACAGCACTGATAGATTTACAGCTAAATTACTTCAACGTCCTTAAAGGTCAACGTCCATTTTTTAGATTTTTTTTTATTTGAATTTTCTCAGTCTGTTAGATAAACATCATTTACACACAAAAAAAAATCTGGTTATTGCACCACACGGATTTGTTCTTAACCTCATTCCAATGCAGTGGTTTTTAACCTTTTAGATATTTCCTCAAGGAATTATCACAAAACTACTTGTTTTCAAACATTTTATTACCAGAACCCGGGAGTACAATGAATTTCATTTAAATTAATATATTTTGCAGGGTTTCTGCCCATCTTTAAAAAGTGTTAATTTGCCCTTGTACAAATTAAGGCCTTAAAAGGTCTTGAATCAGAGTAGAAAGTCCTCAATTCATAAAACCATGGCATGAAATGATATCTTGTTTTTTGAGAAACTGAGCAAAATTGAGTTTATACTTGAAATTAGCAAATATCTGTCAGTGGGAAATGAACTTGTTTTCCTTTTAAAAAATTTTTTGAGTCCATTGGAAGATATTTGTCCCTTTTTTATTCTCAGAAAACAGTAAAAGTTATTTCCATATTGTAGTAATGTTTTTGTTATGAATTTATTTTTTATTTTAGTTTCATAAAATGAATTAAAAAGTAATGGTGATCAGTCGGAAGTTGTATTTTCAAACTTTAAAGTGCTGTGAATACAACTCATTATTGTGTTTTTCTTTGGACATTTACATTTAGAGACTATATTAGCATATTGTGTTCCCTTCAGTGTAGTCCTTAAATTTTCTATAACTGGTCTTAAAAAATTATTTAAGAAGTCTTAATTTTAACTTCATAAAACTTGCAAAAACCCTGTTTTGTTCAGGTATGTTTTTCTATAAAAAAGTAATTGAGCGGGAAAGGAGGTAAAAAATTACATCTTCATTTTTGTGTTTTCAGCATGCACTTTAAATAATTTTATTAATTTTAATAAATTCAGTTTGAAGTTTTCTGAGGTGTCCTGGTTGTTGAGAACCGCTGTTCTAATATTAAATTAATATTAATACTAATATTAACCGCTGTTCTAATATTAATGTTAAAGGGACTCCGTTCTAGGTTAGTAATTTGCATGGAACACGCCCACATCATGTCCATATAAGGGCTTTCCGCATGACCTTTCCTGCTTGTGTCGACGTGCGCAGCAACATTCTCAGGTGATGTGACATCCTCAAACCAATTTCGCAATGAAATATACTTAAGATAAAACATTTGTTTAAAACTTCTTCGTAACACGTTTATAAGGTACCCCGAGTATGAAAATGTGTGGTTTCAGTAGTTCATTTTTCCGTATTATTGATAAGTTCGTGAAAACGTTCGTACACAGATTTCACGAACAACATTAAGATTAAGACTCTCTACTGACGACTGTGATTAAAATGAGAGAATTATTTGAAGAGTTCAAGCCTTTGAAGTTTTTTTGAAAAATATATATATATTAGGACCTAAAAAGAGACTATTTGTTAAAGTGGCATGGAAATAGTGGAACAGGCCGAAGGGCTTCCTTATGATGAAGAAGATGGAAGACATAAAAGGTAACATTTACTGCATTATTCATGTTGTGTTAAGAAACAAGCCTATAATAACACATCATCAGCTTTTCATTGTTTACACCCTCTTTATAAACATATTAGTGTGGGACAAAAAGGATGCCATTTCTTTAATATTTAGTATTCTTTATTTAAAGTTACAACACATTGCATTATCAATAACATATCTGATATTCTCCAGATTTCAAATAGATTTGACAGATAAATCCTCTCATAACAAATGGCATCACATGAAACAGGAATGTGAAGCGTCATCTCAGTGTCTGTCATGTATTGATGGTGTTCGGTCAGTGCTGTTTCAGGCGTCCAGGCTGCTGAGGAGAGTGTTTGCTATATGACTGATGGCTGTGTACCTGCTGCTCTCTGGAAACGCCTGCAGGAAGTCCCGCCCCTCTTCCAAACTCACCTTCAGGAGCGGATCCAGCGGCACGGAGCCTACACACACACCATCAGTCAGTATGTGTGTTTAGACATAAAGGGATGTGAAGTTCAGTGGGGTTCAAATGCCTGAGACCATTTTTGTATTTAATAACAACAACAAGTAATTATAATTTTATTATTATTAATTAGTGCTGTCAAACGATTAATCGCATCCAAAATAAGTTTTTGTTTACATAATATACAGTGGGTACGGAAAGTATTCAGACCCCCTTAAATTTTTCACTCTTTGTTATATTGCAGCCATTTGCTAAAATCATTTAAGTTAATTTTTTTTCCTCATTAATGTACACACAGCATACTTTCCGTACCCACTGTATGTATGTGTACTGTGCATATTTATTATGTATATATATAAATACGAACACATCGTATTTATTTTGAAAATATTTAGATGTATATACATTTATATATGTATATTCTTATATTTTATATAAATATATTTAATATATAAGCATAACATTTTTCTTAAATATATACACGCATGTGCTTATATTTATATATATACATAAAAAATAAACACAGTACACATACATATATTATGTAAACAAAAACGTATTTTGGATGCAATTAATCACGATTAATCGTTTGACAGAAGTATTATTAATGTATTGTAAATAATTATAATTCAAATTATTGAATACGAATTTAAGAATGTCTTAATATTTGGTTGGCTAGATGAACATTATCATGTTTTGAGATGTTCCACAGAGCAAATTGTAGTTTAATTATGTAAAAAAAAATAATACAATTTAAATTATTATAATATATATTACAATTTATTTTTTATTACAATACTTTTATTTTTATTAAATATTTGTAATTTATTTTTAATTGAAATTTACTTCAAAGCAGAGCAGAACCTTTAGTATTTCTTATTAATTTTACACGATATGTTTGTTTTAATTTTGCTTTTTCAGGTTGATCTTCAGTGTGACCTCAGACTTTTGGACCACGCTATAGTCTCATCTATCCTGTATTCAAAACTCACTAAAATAAAACACATAATGAGATGCTGTGCACCATCAAGTGGTAAATGGTGGAACAACACAAGTGAAAAGTGTGGGTCGATCAGCACATTACCTAGAAACACAGATCCAGTGAGCTTGGCTAATTCCTCACCTCCACCTTTAGAGAAAATGTTACTGCACTCCTACATAACACACATCAGTGTTTAATACAGATTGTTAGATGGCATTTTCCTGCACAGCTGTATGTGTTTGAAACTCACAGAACAGTGCGGACACACAAAGCCGCTCATGTTCTCCATGATGCCCAGGTCTTCTTACAGAAGGTGATCTCGCGCCTCACATCTCCTGTAGACACCGCCTGCCGTTTGAAAGGGTGTTAAAGTCCCCTCAAAATAAAAAATGTACGTTTTTTGGCTCTTGGTATGAATATGTTAGCCTTAAGGTCATCTATACGCTAGTGTACTCCAAAACAATGACAAAATTCACATTTACAAGATATAAGCATTCAAAAATTGCAGTCTCTCACTTCCACCAATATGGATCAATCATTTGTATTTTCTATAGAGTGAATGGCACGTAGTGCACTATATAGGGGATAGGGATCGATTCAGACAGTGTAAATATGCTTTACATTGGGGCGAAAGAAGTCTGGTTTTGTGCATGCAGTCTCGGTCCACAGACACGATAGCACGGCGCAGACCACAAAACGTATTGGACCCATTTAAATTCTACACCAAATTGTATATTTTATATCAATAATATAGATGAGATTGTGGCTGTCATACCCTGTCAAATGCAGCTTTACCGAGCTCAACGGCTCTAGTCCAAGCTGTGATATATAAACGAACGCTATTGGCAATTTAAAAAAGGGGTGGGACTGCTTGATATGTCCCACCCTGTTTTAGTTAAAATGACAACAACACATAGAATAACAGTGCATGTTTCAAAGCACTTCAGTGGAACTTTAATGCATGTTATTCAGCAGACTAGAGATTCACAGCATTGTTATGTTCACCTGTGGTGTAGTGACCAGCTCCGTCCACTCTGTGTTTGCGCAGGTTCTCGAGCATGGCCAGGTGTTCGTCTGACGTCCCCGGTGGTGTGTACACCAGCAGAACGTCCAGTTCGCCCCATGCCACATCACTGACAAACTGCCCAATCAGAGCTGAGGAAGAGATGGGGAAGTGAGACGAGAACACATCAGGTACCAAAGTTCAAAAGGTTAAACAGCAAAGGTCAGACCTGTTTTTTTGGGACCCTCCACACGACGGCCTCGTCCGAATCCTCCAACAGGAAGCCGATGGACATGAGTGCGAGCTGCTGCTGGGGGTCTGCATACACAGGCACCCACCCTGCATCACACTGATGCACCTCCGGCTTCCCCACACTCAGCATCTGCGGGATACTGGACCCACACAGATCCACATCCAGGATACCCACCTGACACACACAACAACATCACATGATGACAGAGAATAGAATAGAGTAGAATAGAATTTGTCAGAATATAATAGAATGGAGCAGAATAGAATAAAATACAGCACAATGTAATAGAATAAACCAAAATAGAATAGAGCAGAAGAGAACTGAACAGTGCAGAATATAATAGTGTAGACCAGAATATAATAGAAGCACAATAGAATAAAGTAGAGCAGCATAGAGCCGAACAGAACAGATGAAATACAATAGAGCAGAACATACTGTAATAGAACATAGCACAATAGAATAGAATAAATCAGAATAAAATAAAGTAGAATATAATCAAGTAAAACAGAATATGAAAGAACAGAGTACAATATAATAGAAAAGAGCAGAATATAACGGAATAGATCATAATTTAATAGAGCACAGTGTAATAGAATAAAGCATAATATAAAAGAACACAATAGAAAGGAGCACAGTGTAATAGAATAGATCTGCATAGAATTGAATAGAGCAGAATATAATATAACAGTGCGATAGAATAAAATAAAGCAGAAGAGAATAGAGCAGAATAGAATCAAGTAAAACAAGTATAATAGAATACAGCAGAATAAAATGGAGCACAATATAACAGAATAGAGCAGAATATAAAAAAGCACAAAAGAATAGAGTAGAATACAGCAGAATAAAATAGAGCACAATATAACAATTGAGCAGAATATTAAAAAAGCACAATAGAACATATCTGCATAGAATTTAATAAAGAAGAATATAATAGATGAAATGTAGCACATTAGAATAGAGAAGCATAGAATTGAACAGAGCACAATACAATGGAATGGAGCAGCACGGAATCAAATAAAAATGAATATAATGAAACAGAACAGAAAAGAATCAAATAGAGTAGAGCAAATCATAATAGAATAGAACACAATGGTATTTGACCTTCTTGCCCGCATGTCTGAGCGCCAAGGCGAGTTCAGTGGTGATGGTGCTTTTCCCCACTCCACCTTTACCAGACAGAACCAGAACCACGTGCTCCACCTGATCCAGATTCCCTTTCTCTGAGACACATTCACATGTGAGTTCTAATTTAGTTTATTTCACCAATTTATAGACATTCAGACTTTCTGTCCTCTCTGGTTATTTAAACCTGCAGTGCTATAGTGATGCTATAAGATAACATCACGGTACTGAATGATGGCATGTACCATGGAACTCCAATGAATATCATCATAGTAAATGTTCAACTAAAACATTGTATTTCCAATATAAATATCCAAAAATATGGCGTTTTACCATGCTAACTGTACTGTTGCATGCCCCAAAACAATGTATTATCATGTTACTTTTTATTACATTTATTTCAGAATGGCTGTATTATTGCATTTATGTTTATGTACATTCCGTTGCATCTATGACAACGTAAATGGACAGTTGTGAAGCGATTCAGTTGTATTCCATAAAGACGTGTTAATGAAAAAGTCCTGCTGATCGCTGTGATCCAACAGTGATCACACTCACCACTCTTGTCCATGCTGGTTTATTTTACTTCCGCAATACGTCAAATGACGTTCTGCGTTTTTGATCCCGCCTAAGAGCAAGCTCGTCCAATCAGACACAAGAGTGCGCATATGACGTTACGATTGGTCATTACACAGTCTTAGTCACGCCCCTGTTAATATCCTTCAAAACTATAGTATGTAAAGTTCCCAGTCGGGCTGAAATATTCACACTTGATTAATTAGTAATTAATTATAATTTTTTTATTCATATTGTTAATCGCTCCATATAAGTATATTTTCCTGATAAATAATGTCAGGCACAGTTTGAGCATCTGTGAAGAAAAATAGATTTTCTTTAATAACTTACACACGTTTATTTGTATGTTTTGCAGGCTTTTAGTTTACCACGTCACTGATGCTTGCATGTTGGTCAGATAATTTGTCGTTTAAGGTAAAGCTGACGGAAAGCCAGCGCGGGCTGATCCTTAAAGCGGCCTTTAATGAGGATGATAGACAGATCGACCTGCTCCCATCTGCTAAATTACGAGCACTACTATGGCGAAGGCTTTACATAATGAATATTAACTACGTAACAAGACGTTTGCGCAATATGGCTAACCGATTGGCTGAAAAGGAAACGAGGGACGTGGGCGCTAGCCAATGAAACGTCAGTTCATGAATATTAATTAGGTACAGTCGCTAAACGCTCCAGGAAGGTTATCAAGCAACGAGGCATAACCTAATTGATATTCATGAACTACGCGTTTTCTGTAGAATGACTGAAGACTGGCCGGTGTTGTGATGTGTGTTTGGTGTGTGTAGATGTAGGTCACCAAACTAACACGCACCAGCTAATGTTATATCACTTACAGCAGCTCCTGATGGAAACACGTGTTTAAAGCACAGCGAATAAACTCTACGAAAGCGTAATAAGGTATGTGAGTTCATATGTTAATTATGTCATCATTTTAGTAAAGAAAGAGTTGTGCTGGCAGTGTAGTGATTTCTGAAAGTCCATTTTGTGAAATGACTCTGTGCAGTAAGGTGTTTACAGCAGATACTAGCAGTCTAAAAATATTGTCAAGTATGTAAACACGTTTTCCTGTTAATATATTCATATAATAATCCTATCATTATAGTAATAATAGTGATTTATTATAATACCTCTAACTTAATGGTGTTGGTTGAAGAGATTTTAACCCCTCCAAATGTGTACAGTGCTTTGAGTGTCAAGAAAAGCTCTAAATTAATGTAATTAGTAATAATAATAATAATTATAACAGTTGAGATGCTATAATCATATTTGATTATTATTATTATATTATGACAATATTCAGAACAAGTATATATTAGTAATATAAGTTTATTATTATAATTAGTACAGATAGTATTGGTATTATTTTTATTCATGTCAGAGGTTTAGGGAATTTGTTTTTAAATGTGATTCACATTTAAATTAATGCGCAGCTTTACTATCCATAATAATTCACTATGTAATTGTTGATATGAATAATAGCAGCAACAATTCAGCATAGATGACATGAATTGTCAAGCACATGGTATATATTTTATGCATTTGACTAATTATTGTATAGTTAGTATGCATTCTGCTTAATGAGCTTATATTAAATGATTACATTAAGTATTTGTACTTCAAAAAAGACATTTCGAGCTAAAGTCTTTATGTTGTGTTACTCCTATCACATTACTTTTACGCAATCTTGTTTGTTATGAATATGCTGTTTGCATGAGAAATGTGCTCATGCCAGCATAATGCAAACTTATTGCACCATTGCATTTCCCAGAAGCACATAAGTAAAGGTGGGCCAGTTGGTCAGCTCCGGGGCGGTGGAGGTATCCAGGGCAGGATTCTCGTTTTGGATACACATTATCCATCAATTAGTGAACACCTGGCTGTTTCGCGTACACATTGGGACAGAATCAATTAAGTCTTTTAATCCAATTATTCACTTATATCTGGGGTAAAGAAACGTTTGAAATGCAGTCATAAACTATAATCATTAAGAAATTAGATTTATATGAAAAACACTTTCTTGAAGAATGCCAGTTTCTGTGTGTGCATGTGCAATGAGAGTTATAAAGAGCACTTTCTGCTTCGCCAGCCTGTTCTGGTGATGCTTTTTAAAGTTTCTTCACCCTCCTGGGCTGTTTTGAAAACTCTTACAGTGTAAACATCAGAGCGATCTGAGCAGATCACATGAAGCATGTAAGACTAGAGTCTCGGATTGCCAGCCGTGGCATATGGAGCAATCAGAAGTAGGGTACAGTGTCAGCCTGACATCTGTGAGTCAGCAGCTACAGGAAGTGATGCTGAGAAAATTACAGATCAGCTGCAGTGCTACTGACAAACCCTTTACAAAAATAGATGGATGGATGGACAAATAGACAGACGGATAGACAGACAGACGAATAAATAGATAGATGGATTTACAGACAGACAGACAGAAAGAAAGACAGACAGACAGACAGACAGACAGAAAGATAGATCGACAGATAGATAGACGAATAGACAGACAGACAGAAAGACAGACAAACAGACAGACAGACAGACAGACAGACAGATAGATAGATAGATAGATAGATAGATAGATGGATGGAAAAATAGACAGATGGATAGACAGACAGAAAGAAAGATAGATAGATAGACAGACAGATAGATAGATAGATAGATAGATAGATAGATAGAAATAGTCAGATGATAGATAGATAGATAGATAGATGATAGATAGATAGATAGATAGATAGATAGATAGATAGAGACAGACAGACAGACGAATAGATAGACAGACAGACAGATAGATAGATAGACAGATAGATAGATAGAGACAGACAGACAGAAAGATAGACAGATAGATAGTTAGACAGACAGACGAATAGATAGATAGACAGATAGATAGATAGATAGATAGACAGACAGATAGATAGATAGATAGATAGATAGATAGAAAGAAAGACAGACAGACAGACAGACAGAAAGATAGATAGATCGACAGATAGATAGTTAGACAGAAAGATAGATAGATAGATAGACAGATAGATAGTTAGACAGACAGACAGACAGACAGACAGACAGACAGATAGATAGATAGATAGATAGACAGACGAATAGATAGATAGACAGATAGATAGATAGATAGATAGACAGACAGACAGACAGACAGACATAGATAGATAGAAAGTATCCATAAATAGATTGGATGAAAGGTTTTAAGATAGATAGATAGATAGATAGACAGACAGACAGACATGGATGGATGGATGGATGGATGGAAAAATAGACAGACGGACGAATAAATAGATAGATGGATTTGCAGACAGACAGACAGAAATAAAGACAGACAGACAGACAGACAGAAAGATAGATAGATAGACAGACAGACAGACAGACAGACAGACGAATGGATGGATGGAAAAATAGACAGACGGATAGACAGACAGACGAATAAATAGATAGATGGATTTACAGACAGACAGACAGAAAGAAAGAAAGACAGACAGAAAGAAAGACAGACAGACAGACAGATAGATAGATAGACAGACACAGATAGATAGATAGATAGATAGATAGATAGATAGACAGACAGACAGACAGACAGACAGATAGATAGATAGATAGATGGACGGACGGACGGACGGACGGATGGATGGAAAAATAGACAGACGGATAGACAGACAGACGAATAAATAGATAGATGGATTTACAGACAGACAGACAGACAGACAGAAAGACAGATAGATAGTTAGACAGACAGACAGACAGATGGATGGATGGATGGATGGAAGAAATAACTGCCTCATTCTGTTCTTGTGTTCCAGGAATGTCTGGGAATAATGTTGTTAGTGAGAATGTCCCGGAGACTGAAGCCACGCCCCTCACGACCCTCGGCCCAGAAGAGAAGCAGGCTGTGGGATCACAGGTGAGCATGACTTCTGTCCTCACAAGCTCTGCTTATTTCTGTCAGGTTATTTTGAGCTAACTAGCACTAGTTTTACATTACCTGGGCATCCGGCCAATCAGAGTCTCAAATGAACGGTTTCAGTGACACAGCATGTGCTGCGCTGCTTTAAATCAGCTTCTCACACATGAAGATAATCAGACTTCTTAATAGGTATAAAACAGGCTTTATTTTCTTTATGAAAAATTTGGTAACACTTTATTTTAAGGTGTCCTTGTTACAAATGTTACATGTACTTTCTATTATAATAACAATAACTTATGCATAATTACATGCAAGTAACCTATTAACTAAGTATCCTATTACTTGTTTCGCTTCTGTTTCAGTTTTTATAACCATTTCTTACTATGTGTAAGTAAGTTGTTGTTTTTTAGCATGTACGTTTGGCAGTGTTATTTTTTAGGATTACTGATAAACTACTGTCATTTGATTTGTATTATTTGTATTTGTTATTTTTTAAATTTTAGTTACATTATGTCTGAATTTATTATATCTGTATATGTTAGAATCATTATTATACTCTTATACCTTTTGTTCTTTAATATTTTGAATTGTTTTTAGCTTTATTTTTTGTTTTTCATTTAAATGTGAAGTTAGGGTTAGGGCATTTGTCATTTTTATTTAATTTCTTTATTTTTAAAATGTGTATAGGTAGTATTTATAAAGTTTTAGCTTTTAGTTTTGGATCTGTTTTTAGTTGTTTTAATACTATAATTGATTGCTTCTGTTGTCCTCATTTGTAAGTCGCTTTGGATAAAAGCATCTAATAAATGACTAAATAAAAAAATAAAATAAATAAGTAACCCTAAGCCAAACCCTAATCCTAACCATATAGTAAGTATATGTAGTTAATTAATATTACTCAGTACTTAAATGTAGAATTACACTGTAACAGGGACACCTTAAAATAAAACGTAACCAAACATTTCATTTATTAAATATTTCTTTTGATTTTATAATGTGACCTGGACATTTCTGAGAGGTCCTGACTGGTTTTGTTTGTGCGGTCAGTCAGAGGGCAGCTCTACAGGCTACGAGCCGGTGACGGTGTGTGTGCCAGCGGAGCTGCCGCCGGTGGTGCCCGTGACGGGCGAGTCGTTCTGCCAGTGTCCAGCTCAAACAGAGCTCAGCTCAGATGCCCAGATCAGCCCCTACACCCTCAGCTGCACCTGCGGAGAGGAAGAGCAGGGTCAGATTCATTACATTTAATCATGCATTTAAACACTAAAGAGAACAGAATCATACTGAGCTGACTCAAGTAATGTGATTTGCACTTTGTCATACACAACCTTTGAAAAGTTTGGAGTCAATGAGATTTTATTTTATTCAGCAAGGACGCATTAAACTGATCAAAAATGACAGTATAGACATTTACAATGCCACAAAAGATTTCTATTTTAAAAAAATGCTGTTCTTACGAAGTTTCTATTCTTCAAAGAATTCTAAAAGAAATGTTTCTTAAGCAGCAGATCAGCATATTAGAATGATTTCTGAAGATCATGTGACACTGCAGACTGGAGTAATGATGCTGAAAATTCAGCTTTAATCACAGGAATAAATTACATTTTAACATATATTCAAATAGAAAAGTTATTTTAAATTGTAAAAATATTTCACAATATAACTGCTTTCACTGTATTTTTAATCAAATAAATACAGCCTTGGTGAGCAGAAGAGACTTCTTTCAAAAATATATATATATTTTTAAAAATCTTACCGACCCTGCAAACTGAATAAAAATAAAAAGCTAAAACACAGATTGACCCAGCACAGTCAAAATCCATATATCTATCCATTTATATCACAAAGCACTCATGAAACTATAACATGCATAGAATATAATAATCCATTATATTTATATCCAAATAACTACAAGTAGACATTAGAAACACAAACATCTAATAATATTAGTTTAAAACATTACAGTCGGAATGAACCAAAAATATTTTTTAGATTTAGAATTTATTTCAATTAAATAGATTTTTTTAAATGTTTGATTTGAGAGACAACACAGTTTTATATGATCAGAAAAACATTCCCTAACAAAAAAATCCACCTACTTATAAACAATCAGCGACAGTACAAAGGAAAATACTGCCCTTTAATAAAAAACCATGAATGATGCTGTGTTTTTCCACAGTGAAGATTTGAAATCATGGTTCCTTGTGTTTGTCACTGTGTTAAGGGTGTGATTGGGTTTGGGACGAGGAGAGCAAATCATCCTCCGTGTCTCTGAGCTGCTCTGACCGGAAGGTGATCTTCCACTCGGAGTACAGCTGTGGAACCGCCGCCATCAGGGGAGCCAAGCCTCTCAGCGACGGACAGCACTTCTGGGAAATCAAGATGACATCTCCCGTCTACGGCACAGATATGGTGAGATACGGTGACTGGATGAACAAAGACACTACACTACAACACTGACAATATATCAAGATAAGATCAATAGTTGGATGGATGGATAGACAGACAGACAGACATTTAAAATATGTATTTTGTGTGTTTATGAGTCCAGATGGTTGGTGTCGGGACATCCGAAGTGAACCTGGATCAGTTCAAACATAGTTTCTGCAGTCTGTTGGGCACGGATGAGGACAGCTGGGGTCTGTCCTACACAGGTGAGGTCAGAGGTCACGTGACCCCTGCATTCTATTGTTAATTCAGTATTATTAATTTAAATACATTAAATAACCTGCACATGTTTGTGTATTTAAAAAAACACAAGCAAAACACATTTATTACCATAAGGGACTATTTCTACCAGATCTAATCATTAAAAATGACTAAACTGAATCGAGCCAGCTTGATTCTGTCTCCAGTGCAATGTTTTGACTTAAATAAAACTGACTTAACTTAAATTTGGACTTAAATGATTTATCCATTTGTATGTAATTTTAGATTACACTACCATTCAAAAGTTTGGATTCAGTAAGGTTTTAATTTTTTTTAAAGAGGTCATATGATGCGATTTCAAGTTTTTCTTTCTCTTTGGAGTGTTACAAGCTGTTCGTGAATAGATAAGATCCCTGAAGTTGCAAAGGAAATTAATACTTTAGCAAGGATGCAATAAATTGATCAAAATTGACAGTAAAGTCATTTATAATGTTACAAAAGATTCTATTTCAAACATATGCTGTTCTTTTGAACTTCCTGTTGATCAGAGAAATCCTAAAAAATCAAATGCATCACAGTTTCAACAAACATATGAAGCAGTTTCTTTGAGCAGCAAATCAGCATATTAGAATGATTTCTGAAGATCATGTGACACTGAAGACTGGAGTAATGATGCTGAAAATCCAGCTTTGATCACAGAAATAAATTACATTTTATAATATATTCAAATTGAAAATAATTATTGTAATAATATTTCACAATTTTAGTGTTTTTACTGTATTTTTAATCAAATAAATGCAGCCTTGGTGGGCAGCAGAGACTCCTTTCAAAAACATTACAAAAAAAAACTACCAACCCCACATTGTTCTGATTGGATTTTTACATATTTATGTGTTTTTAACTTCCTTTCTTCATCTACATTTATCATGGTTCAGGTCACCTACACCATAAGGAGTCAAAGGTGAACTTTTCATCACGGTTCGGTCAAGGGTCCATAATCGGGGTCCATCTGGACAGCTGGCACGGCACCCTGAGCTTCTATAAGAACCGCCGCTGCATCGGTAAGACATACACACTCTCTTCTGTCCTGTATCAGTGTATTTCCTACTGAAACACCAACTACAATCTTTCTTATTCTTCCTTTTTCATCTCTGTCTATCTATCTATCTATCTATCTGTCTGTCTGTCTGTCTGTCTGTCTGTCTGTCTGTCTGTCTATCTGTCTGTCAGGCATAGCAGCTACTCACTTGCAGAATAAGCATCTGTATCCGATGGTGTGTTCGACTGCGGCCAAGAGCAGCATGAAGCTGATCCGTTCGTCTGTCTGTCTGTCTGTCTGTCTGTCTATCTGTCTGTCAGGCATAGCAGCTACTCACTTGCAGAATAAGCATCTGTATCCGATGGTGTGTTCGACTGCGGCCAAGAGCAGCATGAAGCTGATCCGTTCACATTCTGCGCCCACCACATTACAGTACCTGTGCTGCACACAGCTGCGCAAAATGCTGCCCAACTGTGCAGACGCTCTGCGCGTGCTGCCCCTGCCGCCGGGTCTGCGTCTGCTGCTGTCTAGCCAGCTGGGATGGGCGCTGACCCTCGGCTGCGCAGACGCCTGCGCACACAACAGGGAAGACAAGGCCACACAAACAGAAGATGGCGACTATGACGAATACACAAGCCCATTTCCTTCCCACAATCCCTCTGACAACGAACGCGTCTTTATTTCAAGTTCCTTCACTGATAACCCTGGTTCTTATCACGGTAAAGATGAGCCTCTTGATTCTACTTCCTGTCCAGATGATGCGCATTATCAAGATGGTGTCTCCATAATGGATGTTACCCGTTACCTTGATCCCTCCTCACCTTCTGACCTCTACTGTGGCTCCGCCCCCAGCCCTGATCACAATTCCATTCCTGACCCTACATTTCAGCACGTATCTGTTTCCTGTCCTTGCTGTGGCCCGCCAGTATCTGTTTCCAGTGACGACTGTAAGGGAAATGATGCCAGCTCTGTGTGTAAACCGGAACACACCGGTTCTTGCATTCTATGCTCCTCCTACACTCCACCAGGCCACGCCTCCTTTTGGCCTGACTCCGCCTCTGAGAGTGGCTCGGACGGCTTCTCTGCAGAGCTAGAGGTGTACCAGAGGAAACGCTGCCGCTGGACATGAGACACACGATGTTTCCATGTAAATCACAGGTCAAAGGTCACATTTAACGGCAGAGTTCATGGTTTACTCACACTCACGTCGTTTCAAACTCATTTAAGTAAGACTGCACGATTAACCGAAATTGTGATACGACTTTGTGCGATTATACAATCGCAAAGACTGTTATTGAATTAAATGTCAACAAAAGAAAATTGGTAAAGAGAGGCACTTAGAAACAATCTGTTGTTTGCAACAAAAAAAAGGGGCTTCAAGGGCTTTCTGCCATAATAATGTTTGAAAATTAAGAAATTAAGCCATATATATATATTAGCATTGTAATTTTGCAGTTATACTCTAAAATAATTATATTAATTATACAATTAATTTTACACTGAACATTTTTGTTAAAAATATAATTTTATCATTAATAACAACAACAACAATTATTATTATTATTAATTATTACTATTTTAGTCGTATACAAGTCATAAATATAATCACATAATTTTAGGCCTACAAACAGTTTTTGAAAATAGATTTCACATTTTTTCTCCAAATTGTGCAGCCCTAGGTACAAGACTTAATTTTTTTCTTGAAGAATGCTTAACACCTCATTTTGTGTCCTACAGAAGAAAAGTCAGTCATGTGGGTTTGGAAAAACATGGGAGAGTAAATAACATAATTGTCATTCTTAGGTGAACTATTGCTTAAATACACACATCATCAGTTCAACTCAAACCATTCGTCCTCATCCCTTGCCAAACTATCATAATGCATTCACTGGACTTGTCGTGAATTATAACCTTCATGAATCCAGTGAATCAGTGTCTTTATTTTTTTAGTAATCTGCTTCTTTTTCCAATTAGTTCATTCATTATTCAGGGTTCAGGATGGGGTTAAAGATTGAAATTTCTCATAAACTTGCTCATTTCCAGTGCCAATGTTTCTAGTCAGGTGACCCTTTTTTGAGAAGGTTTATCTTGTATATTAAGGTAGATCAACACATGCCAAACAATTTGCTGCAGTATTATTGAAATATTGTAGTCATCAGTATGTTTGAGTTCATTCACTCAGACTTCGAGAGACGAGTTCATGAAAAACCTCCTGGCATCTATAAAAACCAGCACAGGCTGAGTGCAGTAGATTAATATCTGAGTCTGTCAATCAGACTGTTAATTACAGTGTTACATTATTTATCGTAATTCAATATCAGAGAGCTACAGCTCTGCTATGACAACTAAATACATATCTGATTTGATAAACACTGTAGATTGTGTATTTTCAGATAGGACGGTGTTTATTCACTTAACTTTTATTCATTAGTTTAACCCCCCTCTTATTATTAACATTTGATTATGATTTATTATATACTCGCTATATATGAATGAATGGTTTTGTACTCTTTTGCATGTTTTCTTACTGATTACATTGTTTTGAGTTAAAAAAATAAACAACAACAACAAAAATCATAATTGCATGTTTTTTTTTTCAAGTATATAATTTGCTCTTTTTAATTTGTGTTTCACCAATATTAAACTTCTGAGCATAACTCATCCCAAACGGCGTGTTGAATTGGATTTTGTTTTTATTTAAATTTTAGTCAAAGTTTAAATAATTTTGTTGTGTTTTTTCATCATTATATTATTTTTTAAATATCTGTATGGTTTTTATTATGTTTTTAGTTTTAAATAAATTAGAACATTTTTAGATATTTTAGTACTTTAAATAAAAATGAGAAATTGTTGCCTTGGCATCTAGCTGAAATAATACTTAATAATTACAATAATATAAAATATATTTTAAAACTTTATATTTTATTTTATTTCAAGTAATAAAAAAAGTTTTTTTATATAGTTTTAGTTAATGATAATAACCCTGTTCAATTTTCAGCAAACATATATACTGATAAAATGCAATGCAACTTCGAATAAAAGCATCATCTTATCAATGACAATCAATAAAATTCATCTTCTATTTAAAATAATGATAATCCAATCTTAATATTCACCAACACCAATTAATAGACTTAAAAAATTCACTTTTTCAGTCTTAAATTTACAATCAGTTTTAAATAATCCATACAAACATTATAAAATGTTTAATTAGTGTTTAATTTTCAAGTATTGATGGTATATCCATTAATAAATTCATAATGGAGAATGAATGCAATAATTTGAGGCACAAACTTATAGAAGAAGGTTAGTCTTCTATACTGGCGATAAAGTGCAAAATTAGTTTTTCACTCCCACAAATCTGCCCTTAATCCAGCAGGAGATGAGGATTCTGGGAAGTGAGAAGGCGATATATACGGCCAGCGAGCTCAGGACCAACACGCCTCTCTTTGGCTCCGCCCACCACAGCGAGATCAGCCAATAGTCTGCGTCGCTCCTCCTCAGACGGCAGCTCCTCATAGGCCTGTTGGAGCAGACGAGAGTGAGAGCATATAAAGAGAGACGTTCAGTGAGAGTCTGAACACACGTCACCTGCAGCAGGAGGGAAGGAGAGGGGTAGACGCTCGTCACGGCTTTGGCCAGAGCTGTACTGACGCGGTACAGCTGCTGGATCTGACGTGTCCACACCTGAGCGAGACCACGGCCGTCTCTGTCCACTCGCACACCTGCCGACCACGAGCCGTCCATGCAGAACCCCAGATCAGGGTCACCACACAACGCCCTGAGAACAAAACACCCGGAGCTATTGTTGCAAAAGAATAGTGTCTTCTGCATAATGAGCAGTTAATAATACTATACAGCGGTTAGATTTCTAATTTGATTCTTCTTAAAGGAATAGTTCACCCAAAAATTCTGCTAAAAATGTACTCACCCTCAAGCCATCCAAGATGAGTTTGTTTCATCATCAGAACAGATTTGGAGAAATTTAGCATTACGTAACTTGCTCAGCAATGGATGCTCTGCAGTGAATGGGTGCCGTCAGAATGAGAGTCCAAACAGCTGATAAAAACATCACAATAATCCACACCACTCCAATCAATTAGCATCTTGTGAAGCCAAAAGCTGTGTGTTTGTAAGAAACAAATCCATCAAGACGTTTTTAACTTCAAACTGCTTCTGGCTAAAATATGAGTCCATAATCCAAAATAACGCCTTCTCCAGTGAAACAGTCCCATCTCCTGTTGTCTCTCACATTAAAATACACCCACATATGTTTAGAGCTGTTTTAGCTTGTAAACGGGGCTTGATCTGTGCAGATTTCTCTCCTGATACAGGCGAGACGACTTTTGCACTGGAAAAAAGCAATATTATGGACATTATGTACTTGTATTTTAGCTGGAAGCAATGGATTAACATTAAAACGTCTTAACAATGGATTTGTTTCTTACAAACATGCAGCTTTTCACTTCACAAGATGTTAACTGATGGACTGGAGTGGTGTGGATTATTGTGATGTTTTTATCAGCTGTTTGGACTCTCATTCTGACGGCACCCATTCACTGCAGAGCATCCATTGCTGAGCAATTGACGGAATGCTACATTTCTCCAAATCTAATGAAGAAACAAACTCATCTTCATCTTGGATGGCCTGAGGGTGAGCACATTTCAGCAAGTTTTCATTTTTGGGTGAACTATTCCTCTAATAACAATTAATACATTTACATTTAGACATTTAGCAGAAGCATAAATAATTTGTACCCTAAATTTGTAAACCCAGACATTTTGAATGATTTATTTTTTTGTATGATTAAAAAACTCACTTGTAAGGTCTCTTGGATAAAGCTTTGGTAACTGCAACCACATGATCGGTCACTTCCTGCCAGCCGAACAGGAAGTTCACCGACACATTCCAGTAGAGCTGGAGGTGAACCAGCAGCTGCCCATCACAGAAACAAGACATGATTACTGGAAGCTTACATTACTAACAAAACTACAAGTGTGAGGATGGATTTATCTGACCCCTTCTGTGTCCAGATGATGCTGATTGAGGTGGAAGTCAAAATCATCTTCATCCCCAGATCCTGATCTGTACACACACATGCACTTACAGCAGTCCATTCAATAGCCTCATTATTGTAAAATCATGTAACATGAATAATAAGCTGATTTGAGAGAAGATGTGTGTACCGTTGCTGATGACTGATCACTAGAATTGTGACAAATTTCCTCGAAGTTTTGTTCAAGTATTTATAGAGATGCTGCAACAGAGACTCCGCCTCCTCGTACACATCACCAATGGGAGCCTAGAATGACAAAGGAACTATATTATAATCAATTATTTAAATTGAATTATAATACAAATACACAAGTATATGTATATATTCATATTATTATAAATGTAACAACAATAATATTGTAACTAACATGTATACAAAATGTTATAATTAATATTAATTGTAATAAAATATTAAATTAGCATAATTTATGTGTGTGTTATACATTATAACAATAATTTTAACTATTTAATTTATAATTAATATGATCATAATAATCATAAAAAATGAATAACAATAATATTAATATTATTTATCATTAAAATATAATAATGTATAATTAATGTTAATTATATAATATTACACTATATTATAAATGCTATAATATATGCATATGTTAAATGACTGACCGACTGATTGGTCACAGTTTTATGTGACATAACCATGTCCTCAAACTCATTATGGGAGATCACCATCAGGACCTGATCTTCTTCAATAACTCCATTTTTAGCTTCATCTTCAGTCTGCACATAAAGAACAAACACTTTCTGAGACATTCATGAGCACGTAAACTTCTGCTGATGTTACCACAATAATAATAATACAGCTTTTCGCCTCCGCTGTACCGCTAAAGGACAGGTAAAGTTAGAAGCAACAGTGCGAGTTACTAGTAGAGCCCGACCGATATGGGTTTTTTGGGGCCGATACCGATATTAGGGAGTAAAAAATACCGATATATCGTCCGATATTCTTTGTGTATATTATAGTACAATACCAGTCAAAAGTTTGGACACTTTCCCATTCGTGTGTCCAAACATTTGACTGGTACTATATATAGAATACAGTATATACATAAACAGAATATATATATATATATATATAAACACATTTTTTGCAATGATCACTCAAATGTGGTGATCAAACACTTATAATGACGTGACAGAGATATGTAATGGAGGCAGGGCATTTAACAATTTAACAATAAACTTTATTATCCAAAATGAGTCTGACATCAGTGCACTGAACAGTAAAGTTGAAGTTTATTCAACTTTAATTCAATTCAATTCCATTCAACTTTATTCTGTTGAAGTTTTTCACTTCGGAACATTCATTCACGGATTTGCGCTACTGTCTTCACACACAGACGAAACTTACTAGAGAAGTGTGAAGTGTGACATAATATACCTCTGTAAATAAATACAATATAAATAGGGATGCACCGAAATGAAAATTCTTGGCCGAAACCGAACAAAATTAAACACTGGGCCGAAGGCCGTATAGCGAACACGGTTTTTCTAGTTTTTTTTCCCCATGTATTTTGCCAATTTTTTCCCCACCATTGCATAAATTAAAAAGCCAAAATGTGCATTTTACTGTTTTGTCTTGCTTTTCAAAAAAAAAAAAGATCAATTACTAGTGACCTGAAGGGCTTGTCGTGTCCAGCTGATGCTGTTAGGAAGACCTTGATTCTCTATACGGTTCCTCCACTGCAACCCATCTACAGTCCCGAGTAACACATCACAGCCTGCGTCCCGCAACAGCGCTGGAGAGAAGAGAGATTACACCAAGTTTAATTAAGAAAAAACTGGGACAGAAGAGAGAACACACTAATATCAATATCTAATCAAAAATATAATCATATATAACTCGTTAAAGGTGTTATAAATTGTACAGGCATCTAGTAAATCTGGTGATCAGATCAGTGGCTGGTTTCTGATGGAAAGTTCAGTTGCTGAAAAAGATGCAGGAGAGTGTTTTTATTTTTAACTAAAACTATTAAAATAATTTCTGTTAAATTTAATAAAGCTGAAATAAAATAGTGCTGTCAAACGATTAATCGCGATTAATCGCATCCAAAATAAAAGTTGTTGTTTACATAATATATGTGTTTACTGTGTATATTTATTACGTATATATAAATACACACACATACAGTATATATTTTGAAAATATTTACATGTATTTACATGTGTATATTTATATTTATATAATTTATATTATATGTAAATATATTTAATATACAAATATAGCATATTTTTCTCAAATATATACACGCATGTGTGTGTGTATTTATATATACATAATAAATATACACAGCACACATACATATATTACGTAAACAAAACGTTTATTTTGGATGCGATTAATCGCGAATAATTGTTTGACAGCACTATTTAATATATAAACAACATATTTTCTTAAATATACAGTATATGTGCATGTATGTGCATTTCTAAATACATAATAAATATACACATTACATACATATATTATGTAAACAAAAAAAATCAGATTTTGGATGCGATTAATCACGATTAATCGTTTGACAGCACTAAAATAAAATAAAAAATATCAGATGATATTTAACTTGAGAATTAGAAATGTTACTTTGGCAACAGACTCAAATAAAATAAGTTTAAATTTAAATACTAAAATGACTAAATCTAAAAATGAAATAGATGTAAGCTAAATATAATTTTTTTATAAACTAATAAAAATGAAAAAAGCACATAAAATCACTCAAAATAAAACCAGAAAATATAAAAATAAAAGCTAATTCAAAATATTATAATAGTACATAACTAATCCTACAACAACATGAATGAAGACATCTGCTTGTGTGATGAAATGAGTGGACAGGAGAGCAGAAGCAGTAGTTTCTGACCTGCGTGAATCTGAAGCGTCAGACTCTTGATGAAGTTCTCCGGTTTTAACAGGCTCACTCTCACCGCTGCCTCTTTCCTCCTCTGCTGCTCTTGTAGTTTCTCCTCTTTGAGCTGTCTCCGTGTCTCTGAGGCAGCTCTTCTGACCTCCTGCACCTCCTCTCGTGTCCTCCTCCTCCTCTTCTCTCCAGCCGCGCTGATGCTGCTGTCTTCTGGCCGCCCGGAAGTGCTCCTGGATGCGGCTGAAGGGTTTGATTCATTCGTACATGTGTCCTGATCGAGTATTACACATGATGATGATGATGATGATGGTTTATTTTCATCACTCTCTTCCTCTGAGTCTGATATCTCCCACGTGTTCGCTCTCTGCACGGCTGCCATCCCTTTAAATCCTCTGCGGGTCATTTATTATAACTACATGTATATAAACTATTACATATTTTAAATATGCTGTATGATAATCGAGTTATTATATGTAAATTGAGCCTGAGCAGATGTCGATTAATGCGTTTTATTGTTTCCTACACTGTCGGTAAATTGTTAGTTTCCAACAGGCTGCGTGCGAATGTAAATAAAAACGGGGCGCTGAGAGGGACAAGAGTAGTACGGATTGCGTTTCGAAAATGATTAAAAGTTTGTAGAAGTTTTTGTTTCATTTCGATTAGATTTTTCGGTAGATTTTCAGTTTTATTTATACAATTTATAATTGTACATTCTAATGTTTTCATTGAGCCTTTTTTTTTGCACAGTGTTATTTTGATTTCAGTATATATCCTGTATATAATTTTTCAGTCTATATCTTGTATACACTATATATATATATATTTTTTTTTCCCCAATTCAATTCAAGTTTATTTGTATTGCGCTTTTCACTATACAAATCGTTGCAAAGCAGCTTTACAGAAAAAGTTAAGTTTCTACATTATATTTAGGAGTAGGTTATTAGTGGAGACTATGTCAGAAATGTACAGTAAAAATCATGCAGTTAATTACAAATTACACGTAATGAAACAGACGGCAAAAACCCTATTAACTGCAATGATTATATGTTGCAATTAAACTTTGCGATTAAACGTTGAGACTAAGCAAAATTTGGTAGTTTTATATGTTGTTCCAGGTTTGTTCCATATATTTTATATGTTGTTCTATATATATATATATATATATATATATACACAAAATTTAAATACATTTTGAAATATTTTGGCCTGGTTTCACAGACAGGGTTTAGACTAAACCAGGATTAGGTCATAGTTCAATTAGGACATTTAAGTAATTTTTTATAAATGTGCCATAGGAAAAAAAAAGCATTACTGGTGTCCATCTTGAGACAAAAGAAAGGCATCGATATATTTTAAGATCAATCAGTGCAAGCTTCTTTCAGTTGAAACAGCTCAGATTGTCCTACTATAGAAGTCAATGGCAACCACCAACTGTTTGATTACCAGCAATCTTCAAAATATCTTCTTTTGTGTTCAACATAAGAAAGCAACTCATACAGGTTTGCAACGACATGAGGTGAGTAAATGATGACAGAATTTTCATTTTTGGGTGAACTATCCCTTTAAGCCTAGTCTGTGAAGCAGGGGTTTGTGTTTTTTATGCCTGTTTAAAGCGCTTTAATTTACCACAGATTATGAAATATCCTATATAAATACATTTTCTTTCCCTACATATCATGAGACTTAAATGAGTACTGATTTGTTTTAAAACATGAATAACACATGATTAAATGATCTAATCTCTTATTTATCTGTGTCATGATTACCCAATCAACACTAAATGCTGTGTCAGCGCTGCGAAACGCAACGTCATGCGGCCAGTCACATGACTCCCAGGCTGTGACGTAACGCGAAATGCGGAAGACTGTCGGTCGATAGAACATCCGGATAGACTGTTCCCACAGTTTAACGCTTTTAATCAGTTCATCATGATTTATAGATCATCAGATATCTGCGGCACATTCTGAAGATCTCCACCTTTGTGGGTCACGTAAACAAAAAGAATTGAGTCTGCTTTGTCGTTGTTTGAGAGGACTGCAGTGATTTCTCTGGGGTCGAGATGGCCGAAGTAGCAGAACAAGGTAAATTAAGCATTTCAATGGTTTCAGGATGTTTGTGAATTCAGTGCCATTTAAAATAAACACTCAGCTTGTAAACAGAGGCAGATGGGATGGATTTAATGTTAAACTTACTAGTTTTCTTAATTAAAAACTATAAATATCATACTTCATGAGAGATTCATAGCTCATATGTGTTGTTTTCTGATGACTAACTCGTCCCTTTCTCTCTCTCTCTGTGTGAATATATGTGTGTTTTTACAGCCTATTACCGGTTTGTGGTCCTGTTTTTTAACTGTATGCTGACTTTCGGCTCTTATTTCTGCTTTGACATTCCCAGTGTCCTGCAGGAGCAGTTTCAGGGGGTGAGAACCAATTTACTGACCTCTGACCTCACTTTCACATCTCTTCCTCTTAGTTTAGGCAGATTTGAAGTGGTCATATTATGAGGAATCACATTTTCCTTTATATTTTGAGATATGTGACAGCATTTACAAATGCAACAGAGCATTTATTGAGAATGAGCTGCATACACTTTAAATTGCCAGAAAGATGAAGACATCAGAACATATGACCGCCCACATTTACACTAAAGTGAAATCTTATTGGGTGACCAGAAACTTGGCCAACCAATCACAATAACAGAATGGGCGCAGGATAGATAAAAGGATAAAGTCTGTAAGACCATAGATAGTCTGAAATCAGATCATTGTATGTGAAAACACATTACTAACAAATTATATAGTATATATATATTAGTATGTATAGTAGCAAATATTACATATAAAGCTCTCTGGTTCAGGAACTAAGTTTTCTCTGTTTTCTCTTACAGAATTTGACATGTCCAAACGGGACGGTGAGTAACAGCACTGCTAATGGCACAGGAGCGTGTGTGGAAGGTTTGGGAATGACGCCACAGGAGTACAACCTGCTTTATGCCATCTACGCCTGGACGTGAGACTCACACAGCAAGAATTAAATTACCGTCTGTCACCCTCTAAAGCTTCACCCTACTTATCAGCTTTAAAATGAGTCTTGTCTTGTTTTCCCAGGAATGCTGTGGTGGTCATCATGGCGGGATTCCTCATTGATAAGTTGGGCAACCGCTGTAAGTAGGATACAATTTTCCTTATCTTTAGTAGGCTGTTTTGAAATCCATCTGAATTTCGTCAGTATTCTTTCTTGAATATGTGTTTATGTGACGTTTGATGTAAGTGTTTGGATTTTCTCTCCTGTAGTTGGTGTTTTCCTGTTCTCCTTCCTGACTGTGTTGGGATCAGCTATCTTTGCATTGGGGTCTCATTTTAAGGGCACGACATACCTGTTGCCCCTCATGCTGACCGGACGACTTCTGTTTGGTTCTGGAAACGGATCCCTGACCAGTATGACATCAGATATTCACCTGTAACACCACTGACATTAAGCAGATTTAATGCTAGAAACGCCAAATCTTTGGTTCTAAATGTAGTGTTTAGGTTAGTTTTATTCACCAAGTGTGCACAGGAATTTGTTGAGGTTTTCAGGAGCACTGGGTCCATACATGCATGCATACATATATATACTCAAGAGAATAGAAATAAAATGTATATTAGGAACAAGGATAAAAACAATAAAAATGAAGTAAATTATATGTGAATTTAGATTGATTAGGTATTGTTTGTGTTTTATTGTTCCCTACAGCTCTGGGTTCATACGTTCATATATACACAAGGACTGAAAATAAAATAAAGTAAATGGTCTCTAAATAAAAGCTAATTATAGTGAAGTAAAAATGAAAGTTAAAAAAATGAAAATGAACTCTATTGTCAGTAGCATCAGTGTTGCATCAAAATTAATTGCATTTTTTTTTTATCAAAAACTGTCAGTCTGATCCATTTAAATGGTTTTACTTCCCTGTGGCCTGTTTACTTCCTTAATTCATATTTCTGGTTTTATTGTACATGATTCATCTATACATGCTATTCCAAAGAAAACAATCTTAACAATCAAATTGTAATCTTTACTGAGAATTGAAATGCTTCTTCTTCCTCTGAAATGACTTTCCATTTCCACTGAGTTTATTGGACTGTATAATAATTTAGTAATTGTTTTAACAAGCTCTCATTCTGTCTGGCACATTGAAAATCAGAAATATGTCATATTATAGAAGTAAAACATTTTAACATCCATTTCCACTGGTTGGCTATCGATCTGCATTATGATAGAAAACCCTACAAAGACCTAAAAGGATCCAACAACATACAAATGTGCTTTTGTTTCTCAGATTCTTTACACACCTAATAAACAAGGGTTTTCATTGCCAAAAACACTACAAACACACCCGTAAAAAGCATTAAGTTACATTGAATCTCATTCATTTCTCAGTTGTCCAAAACCGTATCACGGCGTTCTGGTTCCGCGGGAAGGAGCTGGCTCTGGCGTTTGGACTGACTCTGGCCTTCTCCCGCTTGGGCTCGGTTCTGAACTTCTTCCTGACGCAGAGGTTTGAGTCTCAGTACGGTATGCAGTGGACGCTGTGGGGAGGTGAGAAACACAGCATGCACACGATTAGACTCTTGATCTGACGTTCTGGGGATGTTGTAGAGCCTTATGCATCTGTTTTATGTGCAAAGGCACGTTCCTGTGTGTTCTTGGCTTCCTGTCGGCTGTAACGGTCAGCGTTCTGGATAAGATGGGCATGAAGCAGCTGGGATTGGATGGAGTAATTCAGGAGGAGTCACGCAAAGTGGTGAGACAGATAAAGATGCCATAAGCTGATATATGTTGGGAATACCATACTACTATACTAGTCTTGCTATAATATATATATTATATATATATATATATATATATATATATATTATAATATAATGATAATAATAATAAACTTTTATATATGTGCATTTTCTTTATTTTATATATATACAGTATCTCACAGAAGTGAGTACACCCCTCACATTTTTGTAAATATTTTATTATATCTTTTCAT